AATATTTTATATTTAAACTATATTATTTTTTTCTATATTATTTCATAAAATTAATAATTATTTTAAAAACTGGAATTATATTAAATTAAAATTAATTGTAAATGTAAAATTAAAATTATTAATTACTTCAACTAAAATATTAACCCTAAAATTAATAATAAATGAAAATTAATTAAATTAAAGTATTATAATTAAAATTTAATTAAAATAATTTGTGTGATCGAATGATGGATTCTCAAACTCTTCTTCACCAAAATCTTGCATCCCAAATACTTCTGCATCCTCACAAGGTATGTCATCTTCAGCATATATATTAGATAAGTTGTCTTCAACTGCAAATTATTAATATGAAATAATAAATCTATATTTAATATTATACTGAAAAGATATAAGTTAATCAACAATCTTACTTGGAGTTGGTGTAAATGATGTTAAGTTTGGTTCTATATTTATAGAAATTGCATCATCTTTGTAAATTTCTGACTCCAAGTCTTCTAAATGCAATTCTGGAGTTGGTTCATCATCAAGGATCTAGAAATCAACAAGTTCAATACTTGCATAATCCAAAGGATTATAACTTCCTTTTCTAAGCTGCAACCTACATAATTATTATAAAAAATTAATAATAAAATGTGCATCATTATTTTAAAAAATATTTAAAGAAGTTTCAAATAATACCTATTTCTTAAATTGAGATTGTAACGAACATAGACAAGATCATTTAGCCTTTGGTGCTCAAGATGATTCCTTCTTTTTGTATGAATCTGCTCAAACACACTCCAGTTTATCTCACAACCTGATAAAGACGATGTCAAACTAAGAATTCTAATAGCCATTTTCTATGAGTTTGGTGCATTAGAGCCGAACATCCTCCACCATTCATCTATAAATTAACAAACATACATTAATTTATTCAAATATATATTAAAATGAAATCTCAAAATTTTGTCATCTTACCTGGTTGCATTTCTTTTGCTAATGTTGATGCAATGGGCTTACCAAAACTTCCTAAATTATCACGGAAAAGTCTCACCTCATTCATTGCCAAAGATGATTTTGGACATATATCTTTATTGCCAATCAATTCTATTAGACATTGCAAAACTCCAGGCTTGTTGCAATAATTTTCTCTATCATACTGAAAATGAGGGTTGAGAAAATAAGCTGTTGAATGTATCCATTGTCTTAGTTGATTATCCCATCTTCTATTGATGATACTAGTAAAAGGCTTGTACATTCTTTTATAATTTCTAAACATAGTCTTCATTGCTTTTCTAGCTCTAAACATACCATCATAAATGTATCTAAGAGATGGCTTTTCATCTGCATAAAAAATTCTTAACAACCTAATTAGGGGCCCTGATAATTTTAAAATTATGAAGCTGTCATTCCAAAATTTTGCATCCAAGATAATTGAGGCTGCCTCTTTCCCCTTCATTGTCTTACTTAGCTTTGAATCAATGTAAGCCTTGCTGGTGATGAATGCTTGCAAATCATGTTTATGATCATGGACACTTTTTAAGGTAATGAATGTTGTTGCAAATCTAGTTACTCCAGACCTTATAATTTCAATCCAACCTTTTCTTTTTCTTAACCAAGCCAATATAAAAGCATGATTATAAATAAAAATTGTAACATTTGAAGCTTTTCTATCTAGTTCTGTAATATAAGGCATGCTTCCAATATCTTTCAGAATGAGATTAATGCAATGAGCTGCACAAGGTGACTAATAGATATTTTCATATTTTTCATGCAATAACTCACCGGCTTTCTTATAATTTGCTGCATTATCTATTATAAAATGAACTATATTCTCCTGACCAACCTATTCAATGATATCAGTGAATAAAAAGCACAATGTTGTGGCATCTTTAATGACATCAGATGCATCTACTGATTTTAAAAATGAAACTCCTCGAGGATAATAAACAAGAAAATTTATTAATGTCCTATTTCTTGTATCTATCTAACCATCAGCCTTCAATATACAACAAGTTTCTTTCCATGTTATTCTATTAGATTCAATTAACAATTTACATTCCTCTTTTGCATCCCGTAATAGATTCACTCTTAATTAATCTGTGGTAAGACAGTAATTTATATCCAGGTCCTATTGCAGCAACTGCATCAATAGCTTTTTGTGCAAAAGGTGAGTTAATGACATTGCATGGAATGCAACTATCATAAAACCATCTAGCAATTGCTAAATCTGCACGGTGCACTGCCTCCTTAGATGCCATCACAGTTTTTAAGGAATGTTGAGATCCAGATTTTGTTCTAGGTGCAAAAAAATTATCAATTTCATCAATTTTTCTATTTCCTTTATCAATTCCTTTACCATGTATATCTGAATTTTGTGATTTCATGATTGAACATGAGCCCCTCTCTTCTTCAACTGGATCTTCACCAAGTAAATCATCAATCTGCGACAAGTCTTGTTGTGCTTGTTATTTTTTCTTTGATATCTCATTCAAATTTTGTTGCATCTGATGTTGTATGTCATGTGGCACCTTCTTACAAGAAGCAATGTTCCCTTTAATCCCTGCTAGATGTTGCTTCATCCTATGAATGACTCCTCCCTTATAAATTATTCCACAATGAAGACATTTATATTGCTTCTTACCATTAGTGGTTTTACACAGTAAAATAGTTCCAAGCGATATCTACTTTCTCATGAACGCTTTGAGTTGAATGCGCAGATTGATTGTTTTGTTGATCCATTGGTAGTATTAAACAACAATGGATCAATATTAGCCTGAAAAGTGAACTCTATGTTGTTAATATTAAACAACAATGGAACAAACTAAACACCAACATGTTATATGCATAGTATTATAGTGTATAATAAAAATTTCCTGTATTTTTAGTTTGTGCCAGCTTTTTTTAGAAGAATGTAAACTGAATCTCTAATTCAGCCAGTATCCAAATGTGCAAAGAACATCAAATGTATGCATATAATAAGTAAATGCAATAGCTTGAACTAATATAAGGTTATTAGATAAGCAAGATAGCCAAGAGGTTGAGCTAAAAGAAAGTAAACCTCGCCCTCAGATTTTTAATGGTTTGGCGTCACCCTGAGCTTAATTTTTTTTCACTTCTTAAAGGTTGTCTTAATTATTTGAGCAACCTGCAATCTAATAAAGCCCAAAGTAAGGTCCCACTCACATTGTACATGTCTAGAGTAAACTGTAAACTCTTTCCATCATCACTTACAAGAGCACACCAAAACCTCATTTAAGTAATAAATGAAAGAGTGAAATTTGGAGCAAAGGTTCTAGTTAATTAAGATATTTTGGAGCAAAGGTTCTAGTTAACAAAATCAATCAACATAGTAATTAATCATCATTAGCACCATATTAATAAAGTTATTAACATGTTAATTAAAATCATCCAAAATTTTTTAAAAAATTTTGAAGTGAGATCATTTAAATCTATAATAACAAATAGTTGATGGATCAATATTAATGTGTGAAATAGTTGATGGATCAATATATGAATATTTTAAAATGTTTACGTAACTACTGCATTTGCTAGAAAAGTCTCAATTCATTAATTTATAAAATTCGGATATTCACTTCTCAAGTTCAAACCTTGGTCAATTAATCCCCAATACCCATTCAAAAACTTATAATTACACATTTCAACAATTATAAATAAATATTTAATATAATTAGCTTTAATTACCTAAGTTTATGACGACGGGTATCACACATACCTCCCAAATTATTACCTACTTTGATTTCACACCGCCTAACCTTATTGCTTATAAATACTTTGTCCATGGACATTCTTGATCAGGTGAAGAACTCATGCCATACTAATACTCTAATATATCATAAAATGAGAGAGTGAGAGAAAGTGGTATAATAACTAAGAGCCTTGTAACCTTTTTCTTCCTCAAACGGTGGAATATTATCACTCTCTAGTGAAAATAAATGTATGCTACTTGTTTGAACCACTAAAATTTATGTGCACTCTCTTTTTGGTCTACTCAATAGCTAAATTCAACAAAAAGAAAACCATCTGGACACCTGCATTCATCACAGCCAATATAAATATTGAGCAAACTAAACACCAACATGTTATATGCATAGCATTTTAAAATAATCAACAACTCATCTACAACTTCACAAACATTAAAGAAATACAATCAAACTAAACATCAAATTTTCGGTTTTCAGTTTGCACAGGTAAGAATAAAACATAGGTTCAACGCATACAATCTCCTCACCTTACAATGATTCAAGCACCGACGAAGGAGGAGGTGCAGCGAGCCATCGACGATTAAGAACTCGAGGAGTTGCAGCGTCGATTAACTGGGCCGGCCAGTTCGTCAATGATCCAAGCACGGACGAAGGAGGAGCTGCAGCGACAAACGGCGAAGGAGGAGCTGTAGCGACCAGCGACGAATGGACGAAGGAGGAGCTGCAGCGACCAGCGTCGAAGGAAGAAAATCAGAGACGGGAGACGGGCGGCTTCGGGAGTTACGGGAGGTAGAAAATGAAATTAGGTTTACCTTTACATGTTTTACTAATACTTAAAATACCACATGATTTCAATCAAACGGTGGAAATCGCGTTTAAGCTTAAGTGGCTAGTTCTCTCCCGGTTTCCGGTTTGCCGGGTTCGCAGTCCAACCGCCGGTTGGACCGGTTCAAAGCCGGTCCTTTGATTACCCGGTTTCATTAGATAACCGAACCGGCCGGCCGGCCGGGTGCCGTTTCAACCTGTTGAACCGGCCGATCCAGTCCGGTTTTCAAAACCTTGCTTCAACTTAAGTATTATAATTAAAATTAATAATAAATGGAAATTAATCAAATTAAAGTATTATCATTAAAATTTAATTAAAACAAATTAATAACTTCACAATTTATTAAAATACTATTAAAATTACTAATAAATGAAAAGGTGGTGGATTTTTTAAAAAAAAATTTATAATAAAACATTACGATTCTTAAAAGAGCATATACGCGCGCCTCCTCTCTCTCTCTCTCTCTCATAAAAGAGTCAACGAGTCTACTCAACTAAAATTAGCTCTATATAACCAAGGCAAAGCAACCAAACAGGTCTTCACCCTCTTCCCCGCTCCTCCAGCAAAAGCTTTTGTTTACAGATTAATGGCAGAACATCCTTTCAGTCAGTCTTCGACTGTCATCGATCATCTCAGTAGAGGTTACGAGCGTCTAACCCAGCTCCTCGCCCTCATCTCCTCTTCACCGGCTAATCCAAGCACCACGGCTCCGGCCATGGTGCTCGTCGATAAGGCTATGTGCTGCATCGCCGCCGCCCTCTCCGAGCTCCAAACCTCCTCACCCCGCAGCGTCGACTCTCCCACCGCAGCTGAAGACCATAGGAATGGTACCGATTCTAAGAAAAGGTAGAAGAACTCACCATTTGAACAAGTAGAGAAGTAGTTAATTAACTAAGATTAGTATAATTAACTGAATTCACATCATTTAATGGTGAAATTAAGTAGGTGTAAGAAGAACGTTCAGTCATGGACGATTGTTACTTCAGTGCCTCATTTTGATGGCCATCAATGGCGCAAGTATGGGCAGAAGCGCATTCACAGCTCAGAGTTTCCTAGGTAAGTAGCCGGATCTAATATTCTTATCAAAATAATTTTTATTTTGTTGAGAAATATGTTTGATGAATTATCATTTTGTTTGAAAGGAGATTCATCTTTGCCAATTGTTTACTAGCTAATTAGGTTTCTAGATCGGCTTGGGCGAATCAATTAATCATTAATCTTTGAGGTTAAGTTATTTTGATGATTCATTTGAAAAGGTAATTAATTTAAAGATTAATTCATGATGATGAGAAAGATTAATAATTTGTGGTGCTTAAATGATGTTTATAAATTTATAAAATTTGTATTGTTTATTTCAAAACAAAAAGTTTGTAAGAGTAGCCTATTTTTTATTTAGACTTCGTTTGTGCTGGGTTTCTTAATGCTTTGTAAAGTTGTTTTTTAATAAAAATGTCTTAAAAGTCAGAAAGAAAAATAATGGTTTAAAGCTAAAGCTGCCGCAAACAAAAACTTAGGCTTCTTTTGTTATGACTTTCTTACTACTAAAGCCGTCCCAAACAGGAGTTAAATTCTCATCAGCGCGGACCACTTGACCCCTGATTTCCTTATAATGACCACAATTGAAAAAGAACCTCTCTTATTTTTTAATATTTTTTAATGATTGATGAATATCTTTCATAAAAAATGAATCAAAATCTGATGCTTTTTATCGGGAATTGCTCATTCTGAAAGGGGCATTATCACTTCTTTTCTATTAAAATAATAATTGTAGCCGGTTTAACCAGCAACAATAATCTAGCTGAAAGGATTGTAAATGAGTCTCTTCTTGTTGAGAGCGGACATCGGACAGAGAGAACCATCTGGTTGTCTCTCTGTCTACAGTAAAAGTACAATCAAAGCACAGTTATTATAGCAGCTGCGTTTTAACCGTGCTTTCACTGTAAACAGAAAAAATCGGACGATTAGGTCTGTCCGCTATCCGCACCTAATAATCTACCCTTCTTATTTTCGCTTCTGCTAAAAAAAAAGCAAAGAAATGCGGTTTTAAAAATTTTAGCACATTCAATCAACCCTTTACCATACATTTACTATAGTTTTTCACTTATACAGAAGCTACTACAAGTGCACTCACAGCAAAGACCAAGGCTGCAAAGCAACAAAGACCATTCAACAAAAGGAAGACAAAATCTCCAATAATCCTCCAAAGTACGTGGTCAGCTACAGCGTGCATCACACCTGCAAAGCAATAGAGACTCACGAAATCCCCATTGTCATGGATTCCTTAGCCATAACAAATGAGCATTCTACTTCCAGTAGCCAAGCAGCATCACCTGATCTGTCTTCACCAGTATTGCCTAAACCAGTAGCAGACATCGAGCAGGTGAGTCCAATAATGGACTACACTGAACCTGATCATGGTGAGGCCAACTGGTTCGAGGGCTCGGGCCTCTTGTCGCCTTTTGCAGATTCTGATATTGATTGGGAGCGGCTCATGAGCTAGCTGTGTGTGGTACCAGCGGGTTAGTAAGGGAAGGTGAGTTTATATTTATGTGCAGGGGCTTAAGGGTTTGTTTAGGACGGTTTTCTTACAGCTTAAAACAGCTTTATAGTACAAAAATTTATTTTTTTATCTAAAAAATTAGTTAAAAAAGCAATAAAAAAGCTGTCCCAAATGAAATCTTATAATTTGCTCTGTACAATATCTCAAAAATATAACAGATAGATTTCTCTATGAGCTTACAGCATCGAATAGTCGCCAAAGCCAATTATAGATAATTGGGAATCCTTCGAGCTGACGAAATTAATAATATTATACGAGTCGCCAGAGCCTCTGGCTGAATAGCCTGTGGTTGTTAGAACCGATTGATAAACATTTAAATTAACAAGATGTAGAATAATAGAAATCAAATTAAGAAGAAGCTAATCTCATATATAGTTAATAATTTGGAGGAAACTCGATTCCCACCTATATAATTTATTTTTGTGAGGGAAGGATTTTGATTACCATCGGTTCTTATGCTTTATAATTTGGCAAAGTTGTTTCCATTTATTGTTGCTGTTCATTGTGAAAATTCAATCCCTTCGAGTTCTTTTACACCTTATAAAATCTAATGAAACCAATCTTTTGTGAAGGCTTTGGAGACCATAAGATAAGGGCCTATTTAGGATTATTTTTATTTTTTATTATATTTTTAGTTTTAAAGATGAGGTTTGTTTTCAAGCCAGTTTGGAATAATTTTTTATTTTTGTTTTTTCTTTTTTTTTTTTAAATGTTGTTTGTTTAGTGTGTTTTGAGAGTTTTTATTTTTATATTTATTTTTAAACACTTAAATTTTATTGAAATAATTTAATTATTTTTAAAAACAACTATCATTAGAGCTATGCCTATGATAACTAAATTCAAGTTAATTTGGTTTAATTATATTCCTAATTATATCATTAATTTTCGTAGTATTCATATTTTCTGATAAATTAAATGAAAGGGAATATGTGTTTTATATAGGGCTGTTAATAATTGGCATGACCTAAATCTACCCAAAAAAGTTTAGGTTTCTAGTCGACCATTCAAACAAACAGGTCGGGTTTGAATTCCAATTTATGTCCCTTTTGAAAAATCAGGTAGACTCCTAGTCAACATGCTAACTCAAATTTGACCCAACCCCGATTGAACTCACCAGTCCACTCGCACAGTGCCTTGCCCTAGACTCAAGTCATCTGCACCCGCAGCACTCATCCCAAACTCGAGCACCCGCACCTGCACTCGTGCGATCCCACCCTTGAAATTGTGTACACACTTGTGCACAATCACGCACTTGCAGCGACAATCACTCCCATGCAGTGCTGCATGTAGCTCCCACTGACGCTCGCATGTTGCGTATTTTACATGCAGGTTACGGGTCGAATCGGGTCAACTCGGTAACTTGGCGGGTTGATCTTTTCCAACCCGTTTACAAAATCGATTCGAGTTTGGGTCAGCTAAATTAGAACCAGGTTAATTTTTGGTTCACCCTGAACCTGACCCAAATACCAATCTTGACACCCCCTAGCTAATTTTATATTTACAAGTATGTCTTTGTAAATTACTACTGATTTATACTAAATATTGTTCCTTCGTATATATTAATGAATAAGATGCATACAGTTTCAACATTAATAAAACTTAATGGCTATTCCAAGCCCTCCTCATGTTATATATATATATATATATATATATATATATATATATATAACGCTCACAACATGGCCATGAATCTTATAATGATTACAGAAATCCATGACATTTTTAAAATAAAATATCTGCATATAACCTAGTGATTCTGATCCTAACCATATTTTTTTAGGGTGCTTTTTCGTGATGTCCACTTCAATAAGAATCAAGGCTATGGAAGGCCTCATCCTAGAGGTAGTGGCATGGTCTTTTTGAAGCAGCCTTCCAAAAATGGAACCCAGAGCATGCAGGACTTGATAGTTGAAAAAAATGTAAATGTAAATTAGGGAAAGAAATCCAAATCAAAATAATTGGGGATTCTTCCTTAATATCAACAAAGGCGTCCATTTAAGAAGACACATTTGACAATTGTTAATGTAGTAAGACCGCCTAGCAAAAACCTGACTGTAATCCAAATCATTGACAAGTTGAATGACACATAAAACATGCCAACGGAAAACAAACCAGAGTGTTTAAGATATCCAAAAAAAACATGAATGGAATCCAGATTCAACCTACACATGGAAAAGTTTCCAACTAAAATAAACTGGAAAGGATAAGCAAGTTTAATAACATCTTCATCTGAAATCAATATAGTCGGCATGCACACCCTTAAAAACCAAAGGCATAAATGATAAATAAAACTCATTAGAAGAAGAACTACCAAAGACCACATCTTTAAAGGAACGGGAAGGCAGATTTTTTACTTTCCCAATTCAGACCAAAGAAGCCTTGATTTTTACCAAAAATAGTCGCTAAGAAAGTACCCCGAGGGTTTGACGCAGCAGGCGCCGCCATAGATCTATGGACCAGAGAAGGCCCTAACCACTGAAGCTCTCATTGACCACAAATTCACGCACGAATCCAAAAATCTAAGTGAGAAGAAGAAAGGTGAAAACAGAACCCTATAATCTCTAGAGAGATGGGGGAAAAGAGACTTGTGGTGGGCGAAGCCATCCTCATGTTATTATATTTGCTTGTGTATGAGATTTTGTAGAGGTTAAGCTTCTCAATCATTTTTATAATATTGTATTATTACTCTCACCAAATATAATTTTAATTAAAAATCAATGAATGAAATACCCAAAAAAAACTGTAATCTTTAAATGAAGGCCTAAATATCAACTATAAATACTTATATCCAACTGGTTAGTTCTCTTTCCCACTTGATTTACTATTACTTTTGTATGTAAAGAGAGACGAGCAACAACGGAATTGGGAAAGGAGTAAACGATATTCTCTGTGGCCTTTATCTATGCACTTCATAGAGCTATAAGACCATCTTTGATTTGCTTTTTCTCATCACCATTTCATTTCTATAGCTTTGAATTTGTCTGAAGTAGAGTTTTGAAAGAGTAGCTCAAGGAAGCTTCTTCGCCTTCTTCGACGATGACAATGTTTCTATCATATCAAACATTATGATGGGAGCGCATTGTGATTGCAATGATATTTCTCCCTATTCGCGTGCTTCTTCTGCTAGATCCCTTAAATCCATGAACTCCTGGATTTATTAAATATGAAATTAAAGGCAAAATGGAGCAGGAACGTGATTTAAGTTTTTATAGGATTTAAAGTTGTTATTTTTGCTATTTAATGGGATTCAGGCTAAATCATGCTTAAATCTGGCTCAAATCCTGTATAAAAACAACCCCTAAATCCAGGAAAAAGAAGATTTTGATGGGCAAAATTGCCTAAACATTTTTTAGTTATTAATATTATTTTGAGGGTGGGCAATTGTCCCCCACAATCAACTAAGCGTGATTCTTTCCCCTGTTTATCACGGTATTGTTGTTATCATTATTGTTTCTTATTAAATTCAAATTGACATGCAAAAAACAATATGGGGATATAAATGTTTGCATTTTATTAATATTAATAATAATAATTTTATTTATTATTATTAGTATTATTCTATTTTTAGGACGATCACAAAAAACTCTTAAATCTTACAAAATTAACGCCCAATTTCTAAAATGATTTAAGTCCTCTTTCGAAAAAATTTCCTTTTTTGTTATTAGAGTTTCTATTGTTAAAAAAAAATCTGTATTTTTAATTTTTAAAACATATCTAGTTAATCTTAAGCATATCCAAAAATAACTTTGAGTATTTCAAAAATAATTTATACTATCATCCTTCATCATTGACCACCGTCACCACCACTAATAATGACCATTACAGACCCTGACCACCATCATTGATTGCCATCGCCACCATCATCCCAACATCTCGCTGCCACTATTGCATAAATTAAAATATAAATGAATAAAAGTGATATGAAAGGGCCCCTTAGTGTCAATAAATTTATTCAATTAGTTCTAGAAAGTTCCTACTTCAAAGGGTTGATATCTAATTTTCAAATAATCAAACTTATCTTCCAGCATTCAAACATATAGGCCCTCAAAACAACATTAATGACCTTCATCCACTTTGACAAAACTATGGAAGAATCACCATCGAATTAATCTATGACAGGAAGCTTACAACGACTTAGAAGTATATAAATGCACATGTTAATAGTAAGAATGGAGTATAAATCCAATTAAATATGTTGGAAAAAGTTTTGACTTGATTTTCATTATTGACATCTATCAAACTCTAAATCCATTCATTTTCTTTTTTAAGATTAATTGCTATTAACTTAAGATCAATTCACGTTTATTTTTTTAAGATGATTATTGTCAAATTCAGGCTCGGTTCATATTAAGACTTCATTTAGAATGATTTTCTTACTGTTTCTTAAATCAATTTTTTAGTAATTTTTTTACTTGAAAGCTGCTTTAAGTAGTAAAAAAACTGTCATAAATGGAGCCTAAGGCATCGTTTGGAATGGCTTTCTTTATGCTTCTTAACAAGGGCGGATGGAGGAGGGGGCAAGGGGGGGCACGTGCCCCCCCCAAAAAATTAAAAAAAAAATACTGGGATATGAAAGCTGTTGGCCGGGAATAAAAAAAAAAAACTGGAAATAAGTAAAAAACGAATTTAGGTTTTCGGTTTAGTCATATTCGCTCCCACAGCCGCTCGGCCCGCTCCTCCTTTCGCGTTTCTTCACGCAGGCCGAAGCCGTTCCTTTCGCAGCTCTTTGGCGTTTCTTCCGGCGACGGAGGCGACCGGCGGCGGGGTCTGTCCAGCGGACGACGGTCGGAGATGACGACGTCTCTTACTCCTAGACCGGCGTTGGAGGAAGCCGTGAGGTATTTATTTTAACAAAATCCTGTTTCACCGAGACACCGAATCACCTTTACTTTCAACATTTAGAAGGCCTAAAGAAATTGATGTCTCTCTCTCTCTTGTCCAAGAACGCGAGTACGCGACGAGTCTTTCCGAGGACAAGATGTTTGGCTTTGGCCGGATATAAATATATTTTTTTGTTATTTGATTTTTTCATTTTGACGCGCAATTGATTTACATTTATATGGTTGATTTTATAAGTTTTATATTTTGGTCATTTTTTAAATAGATATATAA